ATCATCATGATTATGTTATTAGTGTTACAAATATGTGCTGCTGTTTCATCTGAAGAATTCAAGACGCAAAAGAAAAAATGGGTGAAAATAGCGACAACAAACATGTTGAAAAGAGTGAAAAAATGGTTGAATACAGGGAAAATTTAGTAAAAAAAGAGCTAAAACTAGACAATCTATATATAGAGATTATTGGGGGTAATTTCGTCAAAAAAAAGCCAACGGGTCCTTATAACGGCCAGTCAAAGGGTTTGACTAACGGATTCAAGAAAAAAGTTAACGGCAGGGGGGTATTTGATGTTTTTCATACATCAGGGGGGTAAACGATACATTTCTCATAGTACAGGGGTGCAAAATGAATTTTACCCTATATATTTCAATAACCTGATAAGCCAGTTAAAATGGAAAGCAAAAAAAAAAAAAGGGAAAAAGAATATAATTGAGCAGTTTTCAGATGTGCAAGAGAAATGATTGGTTGACCAAATATTGAATTACATAAATACCCCTAGGGTTACATCTGAGTTGTAGTTCAAAATATCTTCATTTTATATATAAGATACAGATAGATAATACTTCACGTGCTCTGCACATGATAAATGGTCCAAGTACTAATAAAAGAACTAAATAAATTTGAGAAATCTCAATCCAGCTTAAACCATACAAGGCCTGGCCCAATGGGCTAGTAAAGGAATTCTGATTGTGGGCTTTAATTTTCTTAAATAAATGTTTCGAAAAAAGAAATTTAAGAAAATATAATGTTTGCTTGGAGTTACATTAATACACGACGATGACTAACTAATTTCAGAATCAAAATAATATTTAATTTAAAAAAATATGTAACAATCTTTATAATAATTCATTTGATAGATCATAGACCTGATAGATTTAGATTAGGAGAGTGATTGGGTTGGGTCGGTCGACTATCGAATTTAACCCATCTGACAAACCAAGTTTGCACATATTTGAAAATTATTATCTACCCAAATTTTGTGGCTCGACTGATGGTAGACAATCGGATATTTGATTCCAAAATGAGTATGTTGGTGAGTATATATATATTTATCCGCCAACTAATTTACTTAAAAACTCCAAATTTTAGAGAAAACATATGTACATTATGCCTAATATCATTACGACATCATCATTTATCAATTCAAAATAATTAATAACAATTTCATTTATAACTCCGAAATCCAATCTAATTCAAAACATTCACATTGTGCCATAATGTCACAATGTACAATCACTCACGAGTTCATAACAATTATAAGCAAATCAACGAAAACTACTTCAATGTAACCACACCTTATTTAGAAATTAAAATAATATTTTAATAATGTAAAATTAGAAACATAATGGCTATGTTTGTTAACGTTTTCAAATTCTTTTCACATTTTCCCCAAAATGAAAATTATCTTTCTACACTATTTTCAAAAACTTTCCCCAAAACAAATTCAAATATTTCTCTCTCTAACAAACATGATTTGACCTCTACAGTGAAAATTGTCTTCACTAATATACAAAATCAAATTACTTTATCTTTTAAATTCTTCTTCCAAAATACCTTTTCCCAACACCTTTCAGACATGATTTGACTTGCTACAGTACAAATTATCTCCTCTCAAAACACAAACAAACTTTATTTAATTTTCAAATTCTTCTCCCAAAATATCTTTCTCCAAAATAAAATGAAAATGGAAGCTCAAAAGCTTACCAAACATAGCCAATGTACGCTAAACTTTCCAATCCAACAAAGCCAAATAACTAAATTTCAGGACCTCATTCATTAGCACTATCATTAAATAATTAATTAACAAAATGTGGTTATACTTTATACTCATATTTAACTAAACACGTGACTTGTCGATTACTTATGATTTTATTTTATTTTATTAAATAAATATTTAAAAATACTATCATCTTTCAAAAAAGGTTGACGAAAATGCCCTTACATAATCGTAGTATAAATTGGCAAGAATCTGCACCCGCTTTTATTTGTCCTCTCAATTTATTTTGCAGAAACAGTAACTAACCAACAATGGAAGTCACTCTCTTGTACGCTTCTCTTGCTCTGTTTCTCTTCTTCCTCATCCGGAAATACTCGTCGGGAAAAAGCTACAACCTCCCGCCGGCGCCGGCGCCGCCACTTCCGTTCGTTGGTCACCTCCACCTCCTCAAACTACCGCTCCACAGAACGCTCCACCGCTTCTCCCAGACGCGCGGCCCGATTTTCTCGCTCCGGCTCGGCGCCCGCCGCGTGGTGGTGGTGTCGTCGCCGAATCTGGTGGAGGAGTGCTTCAACGCGAACGACGTCGTCTTCTCCAACCGGCCGCACATCCTGGTGGACAAGTACATCGGCTACGACCACACCACCATGTCCGGCGCACCCTACGGCCACCACTGGCGGAGCCTCCGCCGCATGGGGGCCCAGGAGGTGCTCTCCTCCGCCCGCCTCAACGCCTTCTCGCAGATCAGGCAGGAAGAAGTGCGGCGGGCGCTGCAAACCCTAGCCCGCAGAAACAACGGAGACGGCGGAAAACTCGATCTGAGGCCGAAATTGTTCGAAATGATATTCAACATGATAATGATGATACTCGCCGGAGAGACATACTCCGGCGAGGAAAAGGACGATGAAAAATTAGGGCACCAATTTCAGGAAATGGTGAGCGAGGTTTTCGAGGACGCTTTATCGGCGAATCCAGAGGATTTTGTGCCGATTTTGAAGTGGATTGATTACAAAGGACTGTCGAAGAAATTGGATGCTCTGGGTAAAAGGCTGGATGATTTCTACCAGGGTTTGCTGGCGGAGCACCGCCGTGAGAGGAGGAATACGATCATCGGGCATTTGCTATCTCTGCAGGAATCCGATCCCGAATTCTATACGGATCAAACGATTAAAGGATTCATCACAGTAAGACTTTATATTATTCCGTTGTCAGACCATTATATTATTCTATTTATTAATATATAAAAAAAGTAAAACTCCTCACCTTTTTCTTTTCATCATTTTATTAATATATAAAAAAAGTAAAATTGAAAAAATCAATTATGAACATATTTAAATCAAAAAATAACCGGAGAAAAATATAAATGTCCTCGAATAAATTATACGGTGTGTTTAATTATTTGTAGATTTACGATTGAAATTCATAGAGTGTAAATAACCAGATATATCATCTAATTACCCTAAATTACCCATAGAAAATGAACATTCAAGACTAACTCGCTCTAAATATATTTCGTGGCGATTTCAAAATTTTAAATTGAAGTGTTCGGAATTTAACATAACTGATAACATTTACATTTTTTTTTCCTTCACATTTTCCTATAATCGCAGAACATGATAATTGCGGGCACAGACACATCGGTGGTGACTATAGAATGGGCAATGTCCCTATTGCTCAACCACCCTGAAGCCCTCCAAAAGGCCAAACTCGAGCTCGACTCACAAATCGGCAACAACCGTCTAATCGAGGAACAAGATCTCCCGAACCTCAACTACCTCCGCCACGTCATCTCCGAGACGTTCCGGATGTTCCCAGCGGGGCCCCTGGTGGTCCCACGCGAGTCATCAGCCGACTGCACCGTCGGTGGGTACCACATTCCACGTGGCACAATCTTAATGGTGAACGCGTGGGCCATTCATAGGGACCCCGAGGTATGGGCGGACCCCACGAGCTTCAAGCCCGAGAGATTCGAAGGGAAGTTAGATCAGGTGGAATTGGCGCATAAGTTGATGCCGTTTGGGGTAGGGAGGAGGGGTTGCCCGGGGGCAGGTCTAGGGCAGCGTATGGTGGGGCTGTGTTTGGGGTCGTTGATTCAGTGCTTTGAGTGGGAGAGATTGGGTGCGGAGGAAGTTGATTTGGCTGAAGGTGCTGGGCTCACCATGCCTAAATTGAATCCACTAGTTGCTATTTGCAGACCAAGAGAAATCATGCTCAAAGTTCTTCATGAAGGCAGCACCTAATTACTAAAAATTAAATAAAATATGTTTGTATATTCCTCGTACAATTAATTTAAGGCTGCGGCTATATGCAATACTAATTTCACTTGTGCAAGACTAAATTAAAGAAAGATCTCATTTTATTAAGATGAAATGACAAATATACCCATAAATTAAATTGGCTTTTTTTTTGCTCATGCAAGACCAAATACAAATAATAATAAAATATGAAACAACTAAATTTCGACATTAAGGTGTCGAGTATATGTCCATAAATTCGACACCTTAATGTCGAAATTTAGTGTATTTGGACTAATTTGCTAACAGTTAAATTTCGACACTAAGGTGTCGATTTTGTACTCCAAAATCGACATCTCAATGTCGATTTTTACCTATAAAATTCGACATGTACATGTCGACCGTGTCTGCGCGGAATTGTTTCTAAAAAAAATATGAAACAACTAAATTTCGACATTAAGGTGTCGAATATATGTCCATAAATTCGATACCTTAATGTCGAAATTTAGTATATTTGGACTACTTTACTAACATTTAAATTTCGACACTAAGGTGTCGAATTTGTACTAAAAAATCGACATTGGCGATTTTTGCCTATAAAATTCGACATGTACATGTCGACTGCGTCTGCGCGGGATTTTTTTTGGAAAAACGATATTCTAGCTAAAAAAACACATAAATGCTTATTTTCTTGAGTTTTTTCACCGTAGATTCTTCTATTTTGATGTCTTATGACTCCATACTTGCCATCTTTGTAAGATTTGTTGAGTTTTGATGATTTTGAATGTTTAGGTTTTGTGGGTTTATAGATGATGAAGGAGAAATGTTTTGATGGAGAAGAAGAAATGTTTTGATGGAGAAGATGAGAGTTGGTCTTGTGGTTTTGTGATAGGGTTTTTTTTTGTTTTTGAGTTTTTGGTATTGCACATTTGGAATTTTCTATTTTTTAACAAGTAAGAGGGTATTATAGTATTTATACATTAAAAAAATTAATTTGGTCTTGCACTAGTGGAATTAGTCTTGCATATAGCCCCAGCCTTAATTTAATTTCAAATATATTTATAATAGCCCTGTCTGAGTTCTTGGATTGCTTTCACTCAATTGCAACTAGGTATTAATCCTCCCACTTAGCTAGCTGCTAATCCATTTTGAGATGACATGCTCAATCATGGAAATAGCCACCGCCCGCCGCCGCCACCTCCACCGGACAATGCTCGTGGCTGGAACGGACACATCATCTGTAACAATAGAGTGGCCGCCCTTCTTCTCAACAATCCACAAGCCCTCGAAAAAGCAAGAAACTAAATCAAAACCAAATTAAGTGGGATTCCATCAATTAATCAACAAACAAGATCTCCCAAAAATGCCCTACCTCAACAACATAATTTTCGAAACCCTCCGCCTATTTCCATGGGGCGGCCCACTTCTAGTAGGTACCCCACCAATAATCCGAGGATTGCACGATATTCCAAGTGACACGATGCTATTCGTCAACGAGTGGGCTATAAATAGGGATCCTAACGTGCGGGAGGAAGCTTTAACTTTCAAGCCGAAGAGATTCGAAGGTAAAGAATGATTCGATATTGGAGGAAGTTGATTTGGCTGAAGGAATAGGGCTAACCTCAATTATAGTATTGCTTAACCGAACTAACCGCGTGCAATTAATACACTAAATTACTGTATTTGGTTCAAAGAATATACATGCTCAATATAATGCAAAAATTTGTATTTCATTTACTAGTGCATGATGAATTATGCTCACATTTTCCAAATTCAGTACTTCAATAAATTGTTTGCTGATGTTGTACCTG